TGAAGGGAGGACAGGGGAATGGGGAAAAAATAACCAAGATGGATTATGTAAAGGCACAAATTTCCAATGATAAATGTCATTACATGGTATACCTAAAATGTACCAATGAATTAATTAAAATTTTTTATAAAAAAAAGAATTCCTATTGCCTAGTGGCATGGTAGTCACCTTGATGTCACAGTTAAATGTGTTGTGTGTTTGTGGCAATCCAGGTGAGACCAAACCTGCTATGCAGCCTGTCACAGTATAGTACGTGTGATTATTTACAATCCACGGTATTTGATAATGATATTAAATGAGTATGTCACTGTTTTACATATTTACTTTACCATAATTTTTTTCTCTTGTACTGCAAGCTGAACCCAGGGGTGTTGTACCAATGAGCTATATCTCCAGCCCTTTTCAATTTTATTTTGAGACAAGGTATCACTTAGTTGCCCAAGGTGGCCTCAAAATTTCAATCCTCCTGCCTCACCCTCCTTAGTGGCAGGTATTACAAGTATGAGACACCATACCTGGCCTTTACTATCCATTTCATTGTTATTTTAGAATGCAGTCTTTCTACTTATAAAACATAATTTATTGTAAAATAGCCTGATTGGTAGCTGGCAGCATCCTCACACACCTTGTCTCTTGACTGCATGAAGAGACTAGTTGAGCGATGGGCCTGTACCTTCTGGGGCTGTGTAAGTACACTCTGTGGTGTTTTCACAAAGATGAAATCACCCAGCAACACATTTCTCCAAATGTTGCTCTGTCATTAATCAATGCATGAGGACTGTAGGAGAGAGCCTTTCAGGAAAAGTTTGTGTTTGTCCCTTTGCCTGTGACAGAGGGACTGCAATGAGCTAATCTACTTGATAATGCGTGTGGTCTCCTACCTCCAGCATAGCAGAAGTGAAAATTAGAGGCAGAGGTGAATGAGTAGCATACAGTTCAGAGCCCCATTATTTTCTGTCTGGGACAGCCAGGAGCTCTCCTAGTCTGGCATACCTGTGGTGCTGTGCATGCTGGCTGCAGGGGGGTGCTGGTTTATATCCTCTCTCTGCCCTGGTGTTTGTAATGAAGGCTCAGCTCCTTGGGAGAGCGGCCAAGAATTCTTAATGCCTTATTCCCATACCACCCTGGGCTATAAATCATCTTTTCAGGTCTTGGCTTTCCTTTGCTTTCTGGCCTGCTTGGCTGCTGGTGTAGGGGAAGAGGCACATAAGACTGAAAGATATAATTGTTTTGCAGGCTGTCTCTGAAACGCAAAGCATCTTGGGGGCTTCCTTCCACTTTTGCCATTTTAAAGTAGCATTCCAAAAACACTAGTGAACAGTTCTTGATGGGCATTACTAAATAATATGGTAAATCAATATCTGGGTCAGGGGAGTGCTTTACCCCACAAGGCTTTCTTCCTGGCTGTTCATAGTTCTGGTAGGGAATTATTTTCCATAAAGCTCGGAAAGATCAATAATACTTTGTTGCTGTTTCAATTTTTATCAGTGAAATTCCAATGGCTGTCAGAACTTTTTATAACCAAAGTTTAAGAGTTAAACCAACAAAAATGTTGAGATAGGTGTTGAATTAGAGATTCAGCCACCATATATGGCTTTGCATCTATGTTCTGTACACATCCTCTGTAGTGCACATGGGAGATACTTAAGAGACAGAGCCACTACCCCCTCTCTCCCATATCTAAACTCCAGCAAGCCCTCTCTACTCTGAGTCAGGATCCTTCAGGGAACATTTGGAAGAGGGAGAGGGAGGCAGAAGGGGAGGGGAAGACAGAGAAGCAGAGAGACAGAGACAGACAGACAGACTCATTTTAAGGAATTGACTCACATGAATGTGGGAGTGGCAGTAGGGTCAGGGGCCTAGAAATTCAGGCAGGATTTTCATGTTACATGCTTCAAAGAGGAACTTTTCTTCTCAGGGGAGCTTCATATTTTTGCTTTGCACACCTTCAACTGACTGCATACCTCTGTCATGTTGGGTAGTCTGCTTTGCTTAAAGCCAACGATTATTCAAGTCAGTACATATAATTAACCATTACAACATGCAAAATCTCTCTAGTACACTTTATGAAAGTTTTTTCATTAGTACATGTTTGCCATACATAAGGACTCCAGCTATTGTGGGGAATTGGTATATGTCCATAACCCAGGTGCATACGTCCTCTTTTCTTTTACTGTTACTATTTCTTATTTAATTCACCAGTTTTCTTCACCTGGACAAATGCAGCAATCTTCCAACTGCCCCGTATCAGTCAATATGTACTATAGTAACAAGCAATTCCTATCTCTCAGCAGCTTACTTTGGTAAGAGTTTATTGTTTGCATAATTTAAGTGCTGGGTATGGGTCTATTCCAGGCATTTTTTTTTTTTTTACATTAGCCAGAGAGCAGGTCTCTGTCTTCACTTTAAATCGTATTTAGTGGAATAATCTCTGCATATTCATTGGAAGCAAATTTAGTCATGATTCAAATATACATATTTTAATAGCTTTCTTCTTGTTAAAAGAACCAATTAACAATGAGATATAAAAATAGAGGAAGGTGCACCCTCACCAACAATGAAGAAGGGTTCCTTTCTCCCCACAACCCCACCAGCATTTGTTATTGGTTGATTTCTTGATAGCAGCCATTCTTTCTGGGGTAAGGTGGAATCTCAATGTTGTTTTCCAGACATCTTTTTTTATTGAAAGATCTTTACTTAAGGGGAATCTCCTGTTTTGGACATGCTGCTCTCAAAACCAAGGGAAAAAGAGTAATGGTAAAACTGCAGAGTGACCTTTTGCATTTCCATTCTAATGTGACATAAATTATTCTCTTCATACTTTGTTGGCTAAGGCAAGTCACGTAGCTGAGATTGAGTCTAATACACAGGGGGTTTATCCTTTCACAAGAAGGGCCAATTAATATCTATGAACAACAATGTGCCTACCATAACCCTCCTCTATCTACTACTCTACAATGTAATCAGAGATGTTCTTAAAATAGAATTGAGTTATCTAGCCCTTTGCTTTAAAACACCTTCAAACATTTATTTCCACATTAGTCAGTATAATCCAGAGAAAAATAACCAATGAAACACACATACTAGTATGCACACATATTCACGCACCCACAATCACACACACACACATACACAGATTTGTTGTGGGAATTGGCTCATGCAGTTGTGGAATTTGGCAAGTCTCAAGACCTGCAGAGTGAGTAGGAGAACTGGATACCCAGTTGAACCCATGATTTTGTGCCCATGTGAGTCTGTAGGCCTGTGAACCAGGAGACTCCATGTGTAGTTCTAGTCTGAAGACCAAAAGAATCAAGATCCATGAACATCCGATGTTTTAGTTCATGTCTGAGGGCAGGAAAATAGTTGATACTCCAATTCAGATGTAAATAGGAAAGAAGAATCCTCTTTTATCTGAAGAAAGAGTTGGCCTCTTCCTTCTCTTAAGAATTCAACTGACTGGATGAAACTCATTCACATTGTAGGGTACCATCAGCTTTATTGTTTATTGATTCAAATGTTGATCTCATACAAAAACACCTCACAGAAACAGAGTAATGATTTACCAAATATCTGGGCACCATGTGGCCCAGTCAAGTTGACACTTAAAATTAACCATTACAAGTGCACTCACAGATTCCAAAATTTTTGAAATATAATCTAAACTTTTTCCCATGACCCACATCCCCCCACATATTCTGGCCTTTCTACCCTCCTGGCATCATCTCATACTAAACTCTATCTGCTTGTTCTCTGGTAATTACAGGTCCATCCTACTGCTCCTGAAAGTCACTAAATGCTTGGCTGCTGCAATACTATCATATTTGCTGTTCTTCTATGATGTGTTCACTTTTCCCCAACCCAGCATTTTACATGATATGACTGGACTTTTCCTATTTTTCTGGTCTCTGTCCTATCTAAAGTAGCAATGCTTCTGACCCATTAGCTCTGTTGAATTACCTTATTTTTTTAATAGACATTCTTAATTATCTAAAATTCTTTTATTATTTTCTGCTGTGGTCACAATAAATGTTCAAAGGCCAGTATGTCAAAGGTTTGGTCTCCAGCCAGTTGCACTATTGGGAGGTGGCAAAACCTTTAGGAAGCGGAGCCTAATGGAAGAAAGTTAAGCCATTGGGTGCTTATCCTTGAAAGCATTATTGGGATGTGGGCTCCTGCCTTTCTTCTCTTTTCACTTTCCAGCCACCATGCTGTGATCAGCTTGTGCTACACCATGATGTACTTCCTCACCACAGGCCTAAAGGCATATGGTCAACTGACCATGGACTGACACCTCTGAAACTATGAGAAAAAAATGAAAATGTCTTTTTAAGTTAATTATCTCAGTTATCTTATTACAACAATGGGAAGCTGAGTGAAGTATTGTCTCTATCCTATACTAGATGTAAGAGTCACAAGGATTATAATTACATCTGTTTCTCTCACTGTTGCCTATTTAGCCCCAATATAGTTTATGGAACACCATAGCCATTCCATAAATATGTATGAAATAAGTGAATAATTGAAAGGACCACGAGAACACAGATATGAGTAAGCTAAATTTACTGGTCCTAAATATGATGGTAATTCAGTCCAAATGAAGGATTTTTCCAATAGAAAGTAATTAAATACCCTGTATTCACCATTAAAAACACTTTAGAAATGTTTAGCTGGTGCCAGGAGTTCCTGCGGTCTGTTTGACTATTTATTCTTCAGTAATAACACAAATATAGAGAGTCTGAATGGCTATCCAGCAATAACTCAAAGGTATCCTTATTTCTGACTAAGTATATACAACTAATAGACTCACCTCATTATGATAGAGGGACCAGAGTTCTGGATTTCATATTTAATAGTTTATTTTCCATTGTTCTGGCTTGAGTTAGAAGTATTCCAAGGCTCTTGGACTTTTCAGAGTTACAGACATCCAAAAACAAGTCAATGTTGTATACAAGGATTGGTCTCCAGGCCCACTTCCCTCTGATATAAAATGACAGTATCTCCCTTCCAACGACCGTGGCACAGGCCCCAGCCCACAGAAAATACCAAGGAGCTGTAGCCCAACTTAATGTACAGAGGGTAAGACAGGAAGTCTTGGTAAGTGTTATGGTTTGAAGGTAAGTTTCAGGGCCCTAATGGCCCACTGTGATTGAAGGCTTGGTCCACCTTGTGGTGCTAGTGGGAAATGGAGGAACCTTTGGAATATGGGGGTTAGTGTGATATCCTTGGGTTGGTGGAAGTATGAAGTAGTTCTTGTGTGATCCGTTCAGTTCTTGCAAGAGCATTGTTATAAGAGGAGTGACTCTGCCTCACCTATCTTTTTCTTTCTGCTCCCATTGAAGATGAGGCTGTTTGTTCCTTCTGTCATGATGCAGTTATCTGCCACCCTTAAAAGAAACCAAACAAATGAATCACCTGGTTTTAGAAGTAGAATCTCTAAACATTGTTTTTTCATTATAGCTTTACACCTCTGGTTGGTATTTTATTGTAATGAAGCAAAGTTGACTAACACAGTAGGTCGGCCCAAAGACAAGGAAGATTGGTTGGATCTTGGCTGGGAAGCCTGAGATGCTTCAGTCTAGGACAGACAGAATTCAAGGCAATGTGGCCACATGGCAGCAGGCTCAAAGCTTTAGAACTTAAGAGAAATGGAAAGAACAAGGTAATGCAAACACGGCAGAAGTTGGGCTGGTGCTCAAAGTAGAAGGAATGGGGAAAAGATGAGAATTCAGAGAACTAAGTTTCAAGAGCATAGCAGAATGTAAAAGTCTGATTTTATAGTGAATCACCAGTCTGAGTGTCCTTAAAAATTGTCTGATAAGAATCAGCTGGCCTGGGCTAATGCACCCCTGGGATGGGAGAACAGAACCCATCAGAGTCTTAGGGGAGACCTCAGCTTTTATGAGAATCTCTGCAAATTGAAATAAGAATTTATCATTTAGGTAATAATGCTGCGACATTATAGCAGTGACACAACTCTATCGTTTAAAAATAGTTTGACCTAGGATGTAGTGTGTACTTAAGGTCATTTAAAGAATGTGAAAACTGAAGCTTACAATAGTTTCTTCACAGAATTCACCAAAAAAGCTGTAGTGGGATCATTAAATAGGCCTTTTGATGTCCTGCCCAGAATTTCACCTTTTATAGTAGGGACCTATAATCAGCAAATATCAAAAGTATACAACCTATACCTGCCAACTCTACCTTCCAAAAGATTTTTGTCTATTTTGATGGGATGCCCATGTGTCCTTAGGGAGATTTGTTAGGAGATCAGCAATGACTCTAGATTGGATGCCAAGAATAAAACATATTTTCATAAATAACATGGGTTCAGCTTTCTTTTCCCCTTGTCTTGTGTGTTTGAACAATGTTGGTTGTTCACTTTTCATCCCTACTTTCACTTGTAAATTGATTCTGTTTTCTCTTATTACAAACTTTGTGATTATCTTCATGTGACTCATGTACAAACAAGTAGAGTATAGTGGTCAATCAAGGACAACTGGAAAAGCTAGACGATTCAGTTCTCCTACTGCCTTACAGCTCTCACCTCAACTGACCAGCCTAGATGACAAAGTTCAGTGCTACTAAAACCTTTGTTTGGGCACAGACATCACCTGGAAAAGATGTATGTTGAGTCCTCTTGAATCATTAGCATAATCTCAGATCAGTTCATCAGATGAGGAAATCAGTGTGATGATATATAAATATTATTTACTAAAAAGAAGTATTTATACATTTAAGAATAACTATAAATGAAACAGTTACTAATAAATAAATATTAGTTAAAAGACCATTCTACAAACTTTAGATTATGATTCACAACTTTTTTTTTTTTTTGGTACTGGGGATCAAACTCAGGACCTTGCACTTGCAAGGCAGGTGTGGTACCACTGAGCTAAATCCCTGCCAAGCTTCTCAATTTTTGTTCACTTTAAAATAATCTGAGACGATTTTAAAATCCTCATACTAAGTCTGTGCCATAACAACATGTCTGAATCCCTTAAAGTGGGATAAGGATCTAGTGCTTTTTATGAAAGTTCCCAGGGTAATTTCATTGGCAATCACAATTGAAGACCAGTCCTCCAGGAGTCTCCAGCATGAATGAAACTAATAAAACTAACCATTATAATTTTCCTTCTAGTAGAATGGAAAGATTGCATTATTGAAGATACAGAATTAAGACTGAAAGTACAGCTCAGTGGTGGAGTATTTGCCTAGAATGTACAAGGCCCTGAAAAAAATAAAAATAAAATATAGGACTAAAATAAAATTACTCTTTGATCCAAGATGGGGGTATGAAGTCTTGCCTATATGTTACCACAATGCTTTTCTTTAGTAAATTTTTAAGTGGTAATTGAGATAAAAGTTAAAAAGTCAAAGAAAGAAATGTGTGGTGGTGTAGATAAGAGGACATTTTTTCAGCAATATCATCGTGTATTGAATATTATTTTTCTCATTTTACTAAAATGTAAAATTGAACAGGGAATGTTGATGTTTACATTATATTTCTTCTCACTTTTTAAAGTGAGGGCATAATATACATACACTGTAAAATTCACTCTCTTTGGTGCACAGTTTTATGAGTTTTGACAACGTAGTTTTTTAGCTACCTTAGAGAACAACTTCATTACCTTACAGAATTACTGCCTTCCTATGAGCCTCTCTCTTCATAACCCCAGAACATGGCAACACTCATTTTTCTATTCTTTACTCTTGCCTTTCCTGAATGCATTATAGATGGACTGTGTAGTTTCATTGTATTTCAATGTATTATTTTATGAGAACATAGCTGGTATATAGATTTTATCTAATGATCTCTGAAATAATTGAGTATCTTTGCCTAATATAGTGATATAACTCCTGTTCCTAACCTAAAAGAAGAATTTCTTTTGAGAGTTAAGGGCATTATCAACAAATATATTGACCTTGAGGAGTCTAACTACTCAGAAGACCAGAATTGACCACTTTCAGCCAAATTCAGGGATAGAAATTTTGAGACCAATTTAGAGATATTCCAGTTTCATAATTAAATTTAAGAAAATAAAACTATATAGAAGTATTTTTAATTAATAAAAATAAATGTTATTTCTTTTACAAGAGCAACATATGGTAGAAACAACAGTAAATAAATAGAAGAAACTCTCCCCAAACCACCAGTTTGAACAATCATGATTTTTAATCCATAATTTAAAAATATTTCATACAGTCATACCCACAATCATGTAAATATAAAGATAATTTTTACTAACAAAACTGAGATATTCACGTGATGTTTCCTAAACTATCTTTCTCTCAAATCTTTACTATTTCTTCCTTTTTTTCCCATTCCCCTCCCCTCCCTTCAACTTCTATTCCCCTTCCTTATTTACAAAAGCTGTTTCCAGTTTTTCCTTCTTTCAATTTTTTTCATTTTCCTTCCTTCCTTTCCTCTCCCCCCTCCTTTGTTCCTCCTTCCTTTAGAGCAATTTTTCCTTATTTCACATTGTCTGTTATACACTTTTGTTCTTATTTACATGTTCAGTTTCTTACACCAGAGAAACAATGTGACATTTGCATGTGTGTTCTATTTATTTCACTTAAGAGTACAGCTTCAAGACGCATCCATTTAGCTATAAATGTCTCAAATTTATCATTCTTTGTGACTGAATAATACTCTATTGTATTGAAAGACCACATTTTCTTTATCAATTTGTTGGTTGATGGACATTTGGGTTGTTTCCAAGATTTAGCTGTTACAAACTGTGTTGCTATAAACATGGGTATACATATATCATTGTGGTATGATGCTTTTAATTCTTTTGGGAAGATATCCAGAAGAAGAATAGCTGGGTCAAATGGAACCTCTAATCTTAGTATTTTGAGGAATCTCCACACTGATTTCCACAGCTGTTGCACCAATCTACACTCCTACCAATAGTGGAGAAGTGTTCCTTTTTCCCCCAACCCCAACCAGCATTTGTTGTTGGTTGATTTCTTGTTAGCAGCCATTCTTTCTGGAGTGTGATGTTATCTATGTTGCTTTAATTTGCATCTCTCAAATGACCAGTGGTGTCGAACATTTTTCATGTACTTATTTGCCATTTGGATTTCTTCATCTGGGAACTGTATATTCATTTCAGATGCCCACTTTTGGATTGGATTTAGGAATTCATCTAACAGAGGAAGTAAAAGACCTCTACATTTAAAACTCTGAAAAAGGAGAGTAAAGAGGATATCAGAAAATGGAAAGATATCCCTGGTTCTTGGGTAGGAAGAACCACTATAGTTAAAACGGCCAAGTTTCCAAAATTATTATACAGATGACACCCTACCAAGGCTGTGAGTCATGCGGAACATGCCGAATCAGCCCACGCTGCAGCAACAATCCACTGGACACCCCCCTGCCCCCTGGTCCACTGTACAGCCACCTGGTTCCACACTACAAAGATGCAGAGGACACCGGACAACCAGACCATGGTACTGAGTCCTGCCACTCCTGGCCCAGAGGTAGGGGCTTCTGAGCTGCCCTCCAGCTGCTCCCAGCCCAGAGGAAAGGACTTTTGGGCCACCATCCCTACCTCTGCTCCTGGCCCCTGTCCTACCTCTCCCAGCTCAAAGGAGGCAATCCATGCAGGTGCCAACAGCACGTCCCCCAGATGAAATGAGAAAACATGTAAGTAAGTCTCAAAACCAGACTTCCAGATCACCTACGGCAACCCCAAAGGGAAATGAGATGGAACACTCTGATACTCAACCACCTGG